TGGGATATAGTAACTCTTCCTTCCCACGCTATGCTCTCTGCTTCTTGAGCTCCAGGACTTCTTCTTAAGTGGAAATCAAGTTTCTAGCACCCTACTCAAGTGCCCTCTGCTCCCTTCTCCTCATTTCGCTCTGCCTGAAACGAAAGCTCTGTGACCCTCCCCACAGCCTCGCGCCAGCCAGCCTGCCTTCCTCCCACCCTCTCCAGGGATGTGAGCTGATGACAAGTGACACCAGTGCACAGCTCGGGAAAGGAGCCAGGCATGGCACATCAGGGCCTCTCCACTGGAAGTGTGAGCTGGTTCTGGCCCAGAAAGCCATCGTTTCCCTTGGGTTGTGACACAGGGACACTGAGCAGCAGGGGAGACCTTGAGGGCGGTCAGGGAATGAGGGAGGAAAGGAGGCTGCTTGTATAACAGGCTGAGAACCAGCCTGTGGGCCAGGGAAGGTGGGCCTCAGGGCTCCCAACCCCCTATACACGCAGACTCAAAGAGGAAACTAAGGGCCCCTCTTCTCTGAGCCCCCAAACCTGAAGTTGCCAGGAATCGTTCTTCAACAGCACAGAAGAGCACAGGTCTGTCCCCTAAACTTGCCCTCCTAGGAAAAGTAATAATAATCATCTCATTTTTCTTCCTTAAAATAGCTGAACTTTTTAAGGGGAGGGGGCTGAAAGGAATCATGTTGTGTTCAAAGCACCAAGACCAAAATGCACCCTGGGTGTAACTCTCCGGAGTATCACGAATCATCATTGTGAAACCCTAACCCTCCCCCAACCTTAAAACCTGTTATCTTCCCCAGCTCTAAATGAATCTGGCCTCCTTCCTACCTACCCACTTGCTAGCGTGGTTCAGTCAGGCTGAGCTGCTCTCCACAGCCTGCCTGGGCTGCCTACCTGTCCCTGGGGCAATGACAGGGGGCCGCCTTTGGGACCTGCTGGTTCCTGGCTTAGGTGCTGAGTCAGTGTGTGTGTGTGTGTGTGTGTGTGTGTGTGTCGGGGGTGGGGGGAGGTTGGAAGGAAAGCTAGACTGTAAATCTCCTAGCAGGAACCTGGTCTCTATTTCCTCACAATGTTGCCTGCACTGGATTTGCTGCAGGCCCCCAAAGCAGTGTTTCAAAAATACCTACAGGAAATAGAGGGTTTCAACTTCCGGCTTGGATCCTGCAGGCTCACCTTCTCTCTGGTCGGCTGGAGCCACATTGGGGTGAAGCAGAGGCACCCTGGCTGTTCCAAAGACCTGGGCTGAGAGTCAACAACGTCATTATCTCCAATTAATGGCCTCTGTACACAATGATACGAGCTACCATGGTGAGGGGGCCTTCAAGCCAGGCCCCCATGCCAGGATCTCTACCAGCATTACCTCTTATCCCTGCAACAACCCTGCTGGATAGGCCATATTTCTCCACCTTACAGATTTGGAAAATGAGGCTCAGAGAGGTGAAATCATTTCCCCCAATGTCAACCAGCTAGAAAGTAGTGGAGCTAGGCTTTAAGTCAAAGTTTGTAAATGTAATGTTACACTAAACTGAAATATAGCCCTCTCCATAAGTCAGCTCCCCGTTCTAGGCCGCATCGCTCTTGTAGAAGGGAATACCTTGAGTATACTCATTTTGAAGTCCCCAACCCCAAGGTAAATCTCTCACCTCCCACCACAGACCCACGTACAGTCATGGTTTCCCTCACAGCTTTGGCCTGGTGGCTCTGATCACAGGCAGCCTGGCCCTTAAAATGTAAATTCCCTTTGGTCAAAATGGAGATTCCTTTAAGAAGGCGTCTAATCTCAACTAACTCACACAAGAAAGGGGGCATAGAAATCATTTGTGGTCCCTCCCTGACAAGCACTGCTCTCCAGTGGTTATTTGTATAATATTATGCTTTTTAGGTCTCCCAGTGTCGCTGTGGAACAGGCAGGACAAATAGTGTTATCTCCATTTCACAGGTAGGCAAACTCCAGTTCAGAGATGTTAAGTGACTTGCCCAAGGTCACACAGCAACTCAATGCCAGAGGCAAAAACAGAACTCGGATCATCCATGTGTACCCTATAATTCCGGCTTATTCTCTGGGGCTCAAAGAAAGATCAATTCAAAGGTTACCACCACCTTCCTTTTTTCAATACATAGGGTGACAAATGTGACTCTGGAGACTTCTGTCTGCTTGCGGTGCCCTGTAAAGTGCCATCCCATAAGCTGGCTTTGCTATCCCCACTTTCCAGTCGGGGAACCAGAACTCTCCAAAGAGGAAGGGGTTGGGCCCATCCTGTAGGGAGTGAAACTGGGAAGGGAACTCTGGGCGCTCCTGACGTCCACTCCCGAGCCATGACCACCGCCGCCACCACAGCGGGTTCCAGGACCCTCCTGTCTGCCCCTCACAGCATCTGTGGGAGGAGACAGGACAGGGTCGCCCCAGTCATCTGTGCTGAGGTAGGGAGCGGAGCTGCACATACTCCAAGGAGGACCTGTCAAGTAGTAGGGCCACAGTTTCTGGTTTCAGATTTGCTTTTTTAACTTTTAAGCCATTGTGGCGTATGGGATATTTTGGTAACTTGTTTCCTAAAATTAAGTCAAAATGATTTTCAAAACCAATAATCAGCCTTTGAGGACACCCCACTTTGGGTCTGGGGGTAGGGGGATAGAGAGCCAGAGTGGTCAGGAGAAGAAACCTGCCCCTCTGAGGTGACCCTCCGGGGTCAACAAGTGATGTGACAACATGGCAGCTGCCCAAACCCTGGGCCTCCAGCATCACCAACCAGCAGGGGTAAGAAAACATCTTATGAGGAAGATGAAATCCCATCTGGTCAGGGCCCTTTATATTAGGTCATTATGTATGTGTGTAACTCACTCTGAGGCCAGAGGCCCCTGCAGGAGAGTGACCCCTATCTCTTGCCACAGGTCACCCTGAAAAGGACTGAGGGAGACCAACACAGCTTGGCTCCATGCCAGGCTGCCCTGGGTCCAATGGCCAAGAGCAATTAGCTGGGAGGAAGGCTCTTGCCAAGTCGCAGAGCGAACACCGCAGCAGGCAGAAGTGGCCCAACTAGCCCCAGTCTCTGAGTCTCCAGGGGTTTCTTCAGGAGCTGAAGGGCTAAAAATAACCTTGGCCTTTGTTGTAAGCAGCCGGACCACAGAGATGGAGCTGATTTCAGGGAAGCTGAGCATGCGCGAGGGTCCCACTCATGGAGACCTGCCCTTTGGGCAAATGATTTTTCCAGAAATGTGTCAGTTATTGTGTGCTGCTGCTGTTGCCACTGTTACTGAGATCCAAAGGCAGCCCGGCCCACAACGTTGACTTCCAACACAGGCTTCTCAGAGTCTGAGCCTCCCCATCTCTTCTCAATACATTGCTTTTTTTAAAACAAGCATCCAACATGTATTGGGGAGCTTAGAAGACAAGAGCAGCCCTCAAGCTGAGGGTCCTGCATCATTGCCACCTTGATCATAAAGGATCACATCACCCCCGCCCCCCCATTATTTGTTTTGGTAATAATCATCTCTCCCCCATCCTAAAATTTCCAGAGTCAGGCCTTAGTAGACAATCGCAGACATATACTTCGTGGAAGGAAGAAATTACTTAGGAAAAGGAATTCATAGTGTCACATCAATACTGTAGGGTTTCTCGAAAGCTGCAGTCCTTTGCACCAACGTTCAGATTCTTGACTGGACAGCCTTCTTCACTCACCTTCTTGGCTCTTGAGTCCTACCAGGGCAAGTTCCAGACCCAGGTTGTTTGGGAGGCAGAGTCTCAGCATCTCTCTCTGCCCACATGTTGTGGCTCATCTCCCCTCAAGGATGCCCCAGTTCTGAAGGTGAAGGACCCACAGAGCCTGGTCTCTCGCAAAGCCACTCCGTGATGGATAACAAATACTGATGGGCTATGGCAGGCCTCAAAATGATCTTCAAAACGTTTCCTCCCGCCCCTCAATGCCTCCACTTCCCTCCCAAGCCCCGTCAGGAGACTGCCCTGGCTACGGATGCCACTGCATATCTGCAGCTCTGATATCTTCAGAAGCTCTTCCTCTTCACAGAGACCAAGGAACCAGGAGGAATTTTCACCGTCAAGATGGCCTCCAGGCTCTGAGTCTAGAAGTTTCAGGGAGGCTTGTAATAAATAACATCTTTACAGGCCTTTGCTCCTTTGCTGATTCCAGGATGAAGCGCCTCAGCTGGAGGCAAGGAGCTGTGAGAAGATTTCTTAGAACACAATAGGTAGAAAACACCAAACTACACATGAATAACTGATGAGTGGTCACAAAATGGCTTCCTTTAAAATGGGAACCAGTGAGACGGCCACAGTGCTAGGGTACACGTGAGAGGATTCCACAGGGCTGGGGCTGTTCTTCAAAAAGTGCAAGATCCTTCTGGTAGAAACGAGGAGGGGCTGGCTGAACTACTGAAACCTGTGTGTGGGAGGTAAGTAGCTACCTCGCCCTCTTGGGTCCCTGTGTCTGTACCCTCTGTGATGACTGGTTTTCCTTACAGGTGGTCTGTCTGGATACATCGGAGTAGGGGCTTAATCTGGTTTAAACTGGGCTCTGGTTCAGCCTCTTCAGCAGCAAGTCACCTGCTATGACCTGGGGCCCTAGGCTTGGCAGCCAAAGGCTGAAGCTTTTTCTTTGAGCAGTTCCCAGCATAAGTGGCAGCTCCAGCTTCCTACAAGAAACAAGATGGCATTACTAGCAGTGCCTCTCCAAACCCTCAAGCCCCGACCTGGGCCCTAACTTCTCGTAAGCCCTGCTTTCTTTAGACTTTCACAATTTTTTTCAGAGGTAGAATCCCAGTCCTGAAAACATGTTTGAGTCTGTAGCTCAGCAGAGAGTAAGTGCTGCTCAGAAAACAGGAAGTGCTCAGAAATGATCAGCTGAACGGTTATAAAGACCCTCACTCCTTGATTGTGCCTCGCTCCTACCTAGAACCAGCATCTCTGAGCCTGGGCCAGTTCCCTTCAAAGCTCACACCTCCCACCATCTCAGCTATATGTCTGGGAAACATCGCCTTGGTCCTCAAGTTGAAATTTCAGCTGGTTCAACTGTGCCTCAGTTTTCTCATCTGTAAAATGGTAGTGTTCATACCTACCTCGTAGGGCCATGATGATTAAATGAGACAAGACATGTAAAGCCCTTAGCACAAGGCCTGCTTAGTAGTGGTAGCTGCTGTTGTGATTGTCAACCTCATCACCATTACCTTCTGGGGGCTCAGCCACAGGAGGATTTAAACAGTACATGTGGTAGCCACGGTCACAGTCATCGCAGAAGAGTAGCTGGTCCTGGGGGAATACAGAGTAGTGCCAAGGAGGCGAGAGAGACTGAATTATTCAAAACCAACGCCTGGCCTCACCTACTCTACCAGCCTTATTTCCACAAATCAACCTTCCTGGGTGCCCCTTTCCAGACCCTGTTTAGAGTCTTCACTGTCCCCTGAACATGCCCTGTGCTCTGCCCGCACCCGGAATTCCCCCCTCTGTCTCCCCAGCTATGCAAATCCTACCCACACTTTAGCCCTGTTTTCTTTGGACTTTTCACAACTCAGAGGTGGAATCCCAGTCCTGAATACATGCTGGAGTCAGTAGCTCAGCGGAGTAAGTGCTGCTCAGAAAATAGTTAAGTACTCAGCTGAACAGCTGTAAAGACCCTCACATTCCTTGACTGTGCCTCTTAACCAGCATCCCTGGGCTCTGCCCATACCTCCTCCAAGAAGCCTTTCTGGACTGCCACCTCATATCTCAGCTAAAAGGGATCCATTACTCTTCTGAACTTCCATAGCCAATAACTCTGCTTCCATAAGGGGAAAAACTAAATTTATGCATTTCTATATTCCCCATGATGATTGCCTAGTGCACAGAAAGTACTTTAAAGGTTTGAAAATTTGACTTGAATTCCTCTGAGCCTCACTCTTTCCATCTGTGAAATGGGCAACAACCATACTTGGTAGTAACATCCAGGACACCTCGGAACCATTTTAGGGTTTCATTACGTGAATGTAGAGAAATGCAAGCAAAGCCATCCATCAGTTCCCAAAAGCCTCCTCAGGAGCTGGAGGCTGTGCCCAGGTGAGAACAGGACCCTCAGGTGTGGTTCACTTCCAAGGGCACAGTATGCACCTTTGCTCCTACCATTCCCTCTGCCTGAAGGCTCTCTCAGTGCCTGACTCCTTTTTTTCTGTAGCATTCCCCGCCCACCCTTTAAGTCTTCAAACTCTTTTCTCCCACAAAGACTTCACTAATCAGCCTCAACTGTAAGTTCTCTGTCCCCACTTTGCATCACCACAGTACTTTCCCTTTCTTATGACATTTATGTGCATTTTCCTTTATGTTACAAAGCTAAGACATTTATGCATAACTGTTCTGTTGAATAGTTCATTTGGAACACGCCTCTTTTGTCCACTCCTTTATGGACTGTAAAGGGGTAGAGCCTGTCTTACTCATCTCGGTATCTCCTTGCACACAGTAGCTTCTCAGTAAGTGTGATCTGGTCCCCATTCTCCAGGTTCAGCCCTGTTCTATTCAGTGATCTTTGGACCTGCTTCAATGGCTTATCAGACATTTGCACAGTTAAATTTTGTATCAAATCTCACCTTGGCTCCCATCAGTGCAGAGGTCCTGCAAAAAGTAGATATAGAAGTTGGAAACCCTGGTCAGTGGGCAATGAGGTGGGAGAGGTTGTAAAAGCCCTTTTTTTTTTTTTATCATGCTAAACTTTTCAGTGGGGCAACGGGAAGCTTTTGGAAGAGTTAGCGACAGAGGAGTGACATGGTCAGACTTGCAATTTAGAAAGATCTCACGAGTTAGTGTGCAAGAATAGATACCTGGGTGGAGAGAGGTTACTTCTAGAGGCCAGAGGCCAGTGAAGGGGCTGCTATAGTCATCCAGGTGAGAGATGATGGCAGCCTCAACTAGGGCTCTGGCATGGGGGAAAGAGAAGGGTCTTGCTCCCATTTAAGAGTCATTGAATAGATGTGGGGAGTGATAGGAAAGAAATGAAGACTATCTCCTGGGATGTGAGTTGGACAGCAAGCCAAATGATGCAGCTAACCACTGAGATGTGGGCAGAGGAGCAGACCTATGGGAAGGAGAGGGCAACTTCAGCTAGAGACAAGTTCTATAGATCTAAGATCTCCCAGGAGGGATGCCCTAGAGGCATGGGGGGATCAGGAGATCATCTGCAGATGCCCGGGGCTTGAGGATTTGGGAGTCATTTGTGATTAGACAGCAATGGAGGTCCTAGGAAAAGAAGCCCACAATGTGTGAGAGCAGATGTCCTTGAGTTTGTGCTCATGAAGGAGTGTCCGTGAACTCCTTGAAGTTATATGCACAACTCTGCGTGTAGGAGGAAATAAATGTGCATGTTTCTGAGGAAAGAGTAAATCCATAGCTTTCATTGAATTTTCTGAAAAGTCAAGGACATATAAAAGGTTACTGTGAAAAAGGCCAAGAGTAGGGGAACACCAACTTTAAGGGACAGGGAGAGAATAAAGAGAATAAGAAGCAGTCAGAGAGTAGGATGAAAACAGGACAGAGTGGTTACTCCACAAAAGTTACGCCATGACTGTCAGAATGGAAGTAAGCTATATGACAATATGATTTAGGGATAATAGGAGGAGAAACAAGTTAGGATGAGGACAGAAAATAGGAAGAGACTTGTCAGAAACAGTATTTCTAATGTCCTAAAGGCATTGATAACCCCTACTATAGTGCTAACACAAGAGATACAAGAAAGTAGAATACCCTAAATTGAACTTTCCCAGTGGGAAGCCAGGCATCTGTGGGTGTAAATGCTTTTTTCGTGGGTTGATCATTGTCTAGCACCATATTCTCTTCTTTTCCATCTGCTTTTCAGGATAATTGCCTGTCAAAACCACTAAGAACTCCCAGCTCATGCTAACCCCCACGAAAAACACAATTTAAGGACCTCTTATTCCCAAATATCCAAGAACCAGGCTCCACCAATGGCTACAGTTCCAGGAGAATGGAAATCTCATTCTGAGATGTGCAGGTTAAGTCCTTGACTATGTGAGAGAAACCCTATTGCCCAAGCAGCCTCACTCCTTGATTCCTCCCCTAAGGCTCTGCCAAGTCAACAAAAACCTCTGCCTTATTAGTATTTATAAAGCTAAAGACCAGAATCAACCCAAATGCCCATCAATGAGACTGGTTGAATAAACTAATGAAGAACTATGCAGCTATAGGAAGGGATGAAGATTATGTCTATGTATTGCTGTGGGGCAATCTTCAGGATATTCAGTAGAAAAGCAAAGTGAAAAAAATATGTATATCTGTTACCATTTTCTAAGAAAATGCATCCATTTTCTTAAGGATCCATATGCATATACATACGCTTACATTGAAACAAAATGGAAAGCTAAACCATAATTTTTTAAATTAGTTACTCAAAAGCAAAGTGAGAAGACAGTATGAAAGAGGTTGGGATGGAAGCTAAGTTTCTTTGAATATACTGTTTATTTTATAGATTTGATTTTTGGAACCATTAAATATTTCACACAGTCATAAAGCAAAATTCACATGGTAACTGTTCCTAAAAACAAAAGAAAAATGATACAAATTAATCTAATGATGTATTAGTGGGTGACATAACTACACAGAAGGAAACTATACCGAGTGACTAAAACACATAGTTTGACTGTACATCCTTAGTTGAATATATCATAGGACAAAAATAAGTGCAAATATGTATATATATATTTATTTCCAGAAATCATATTGTTGATGGTAATAGTGGAATTGATATTCTGAGACTTTTGTGTGTGTATTAAATGAGCGATTAAGTTGGTATTGAGAAGAAACAATTTTGACATAGTTGAAAGAAAATATAGATGTAAGATTGATTAGGCGAAGTGAAAACCCCACAGTTTATTCCTGTGTATGAATTGGAAGTATCAGTATAAATGCATAGTGCATTTTATCTTTAAAACAATCAAAGCATATTTTCTAGTTCTGGCCATTGAAAATGCCCCAAAACAATGACTAACACAGTAAAAATTAGCACCCAAATTATGTTTTCTAAAGACCATTGCCTACTAAAAGGAACCAGGAATCCTTGCAGAAATGGCTGGT